AATGTAGCATTGAAATTCAGGCCGGCCCACAAAGGCACGACACGACACAACCCTATTGGGCTTCAAGTTATAATTGTTTGGCAAGGCATGTCCCATGGCACGGTGGGCCGTGAAAATTTCGACATGACCCACTACCACCTCTAAACATAATGTTAAGAGAGGGGAACACTTAAAATTAGTGTTTCTATAACAATCTTTAAGTCAAAGCAAAGCATATATATATGCTAGCTTAAAAGATACAAAATCAATCTTTAGGCATTATCGAAGGTCAAGCTCAATAATTGAAACCCCATTCAATGAAAACTAGACATAATTTTTTTATCAATCCAATGCTGGTGACTCTAATTTATCCATCTACACAATAACTAGCAACAAGTTAGAACTCCAAAAAGAAAAAAAGAAAAAATTTGCTGCTTATAGCAGAGGAAATTGCAGATACCTTCTGTCTCCTGCTTATTATGATCTCCTGCTTTGTCTTTTCTCCCTTTGTTAACAAGACCAAGTGAACACAAAGTGCTATAATGAACAACTCAGAAGAAACAATGATTATACAGTTCTAGAGGTAATGCTCCTTTGCCTGCATCCACAAATCAGAAAATATGTGTAAATATTCAATGTTATATATCTCTGATCTTTTTACCTGAGCGAACATAAGGACTGGATTGGTCGTTAAAGGAAAAATCTTGACCACAGTGAATGGAAATAGGATTCCTAATATACTCATTGATCAATCAAAAAAAGATTCAAACAACTAAAAGAAAGATTTATTATTCGGATCCTTCCTATCTTTGAATAAAAAAAACAAAGATAAAATTAGACCAATTCCCTCAAATGCCTTTATGGATATTTCTTAATGTCCCGGCTATTCAGAAATGTGAAAACATATAATAAGTATCTACTTTCGAAAAAATTAAGAATTTAATTCTTAGAATCCTACAAGATCTCTCTTTTTTTTCTTTTTTTTGTCTCTGACAGATGGTGAAACTTCATCTGAGTTCGAATCCTACGAGATTCGCTAAGATTAGAAATTGTTGTAAGAAAGAAGAAGATGTGTCTTTTTTAAGTTTCATATCAGGAAAGGATCTTGAAACTTACCTTTTGGATAACTAGCCCCGGAGAAGGAAGCACGGCGGCGGCTGAGAAGATAGGAACAAGAGTGGCGTTATAGAAACGTCGAATTCCCAGATATACATCAACTAGGTCTCATAATAAGGCAGCCAGACTTCCCATGGTAGTGACTCTCATAGAAACCCACGATTGACAAGACAATCCTCACAATCACTCTGTGAAATATCTGGAGTACACTGCATGAGTGCAAAATCTTCACAAAGCTTGTCACACTTTCCTCCCCAATTGCAAACTTTTTGTAGAATTATTAGCCCCAGCAGCAGCTTCTCTCACAACCGGTTCATCAAATTCTCCCAACTCTGATCAAACTGTGTCATGTTTACGGTTCATATTATCTTTATTTTCGCCTCCAGCCATAGGATCCGCACCATTTTGCCAAAAAGAGCGGTTTGAATAGCGCACATGCATTGAGGACTCCCTCCCCATGCCACTGCTTCTTTCTGGTTCAAACATGTCTTCACAATATCTTCAGCTGCTGAACTTACACAACTAGCACACTGTTCTGCAGAAGAATCTCCTCTACATTCACAAGAGCATAAACTTTGTCCGGCTCTTCGCCATACTTGAAGTATAAAAAAAAACCATCATGGAGAGTGACATTGAGCAAGAGATGAGAGAATCAGATTCCTGTTCTTCTCATAGGTGCTATTACTTGGAAATCCCTGTTTTAACATATAGTTGCTCTAGTAACACCAATGTTTATAAGCAAATAGAAACCAACAAAGCAAAGATATGAAGCCCATCTGCATTTTCACTGTGTGGAAGATGAACCATAACACAATTATTAAAGTGAAAAATAATATTTTCCTTGTCCATCTTATACTTCCTAGTACAATGTGAATGCATTATGGATGTGGGTCAAGCTATGTAACTGTTTGCTGTTTTATAAGCATTTTTGTGCCATGACCTATTGGAGCGTGATTCACTTATTCTTCTGAAAATAGTGAAGTCTTCTAATTAAACAAACTGATTATGGGATGATTGATAAGAGAGTTTGTGGGACAAAGTTACAGTGAAAGTACATGGCAATGGCATATATGCTTTTTGCTTTTTAAAATTATTTGTGGGATTCTTTTGTAGACTACTTAATAATTATGTGATTGGATTTCTTTATGTCGATATCTTTTGTCACCACCCCCGACTTACAAGTCTATAATAACTCTTTATAAAGAAACGTACAACAACACCTGAACCTGATGTATATATGATTATATAGAGATGACTCTGTTACATTTTTTTTTTTTTTTTTTTTTTTTTTTTAGTATGGCTATTTGGTATACAGTTTTTTATATCTGGGTATGATTTTTTCAGTAAGCATGCTGCTTGAAACCCAAAGCAAGTAGTAAGGTCCGAAGCCTAAGTAAATATAAAATACTTGAGGACTCCCTCCCCATGCCACTGCTTCTTTCTGGTTCAAACATTTCTTGACAATATCTTTAGCTGCTGAACTTACACAACTAGCACACTGTTCTGCAGAAGAATCTCCTCTACAATTCACAAGAGCATAAACTTTGTCCGGCTCTTCGCCAGTACTTGAAGTATAAAAGAAACCATCATGGAGAGTGACATTAGAATCAAGAGAGGAGAGAATCAGATTCCTGTTCTTCTCATAGGTGCTATTACTTGTGAAATTCCCTGTGTTATAACATATAGTTGCTCTAGTAACACCAATGTTTATAAGCAAAATCGAAACCAAACAAATCCAACGTTTAAAACCCTTTGCAGGGTTATGCATTCTTATGAGCTTGGGGAAGACGAAGAAAGAGAACACCACTCTTTCACAATAAAAAACAAATAAACTAAGAGATAGAATGCAGAGTGGACTAGTCAAATTGACTGGTCGACTCAGACTTTGAAACCCATGGTTTGAAATCAAAGGATGTTCACATACTGAGCTTTTGGAAATCAAAGCCGGTGGGCTGTTGTGAACAGTGGTGAGTGATTGAAACGTCAGAGGAAGGATAGCATAAGGTAAAAAAGCATCAATTTATACATAAATCAAATTTTCTTATTCCTTTTTAACATTGATTCACATAAAAATACTTTCCAGATGGTCAATAAACAAAACTTTTTTCATTCCAATTTTCTTTACCTGTGTGGATTAACACTAAAAAGGTCAAATTCTTGCTGTCTTCGATGTGAGAAAATAGTGGACCATTGTGTGTTTAGGAAGATCCAATCTGATTATAATAATGTTTGTTCTCAAGATATTTTATACATATATACAATCCATTTTTCCTGCAGACATCCTGATTTTTTGGAATCTGAATTTTACCTCTCGCTAACAAGAGTTAATTTCTATATGCAAACCGTCAAAGGACAAAATCTCATGAACTATCAACTTTTACATCAAGACATGAGAGTTGAAAACATGTTAACGACCTTCTAGCTCGGTAATTGAAACCTCATTCAACGAAGGTTGAACATAATTCCCATTATGATCCAACATAGGTGATTCCGAATCGTATTCCTTCGAGTTAGATTGCATAAAAAATGCAGGTTTTGAGTGAACTGGGAGAGACGGAGAGCAGCTGGCGAGCATTAGAACAACTGAAGCCATTGTAGGTCTATTGGCTACATTTTCTTGAACACAAAGCAACCTAATGCGAATATATCTCATCATTTCACTGCTAGAACCAACTCTTAGAGTACGATCTATCAGATTCAAAGCCGTCCCTTCATTCCAATTTCTCCATGCCTGCAAAAATTCAACACAGATTCCATGGTTATTGATATTGAATTTAACCAGGAAGAAGAAATGAAAAAAAATATATATATTGATAATGACTCGTATTTACTTACACAGGTTAATAGATCTTCTACTTGTTCTCCATTATGAAAACTATTTTTTTGACCATGGATGATTTCCAGGACTAACACACCAAAGCTAAAAACATCAGACTTGACTGAGAATTGTCTGTGCTTTAGATACTCTGGAGCCATATACCCACTGAAAACGCCATTCATTGGTTAGATTTTGTTTAGTAAGGTCTAAGTTTGTAATGCTTATATATACATACTTACAAGGTCCCGACGACTCTACTTGTATCGCTATGAGTTTGATCGATTTCGAACAATTTCGCCATTCCAAAATCTGAAATTTTCGAAACCATGTCGACATCTAGAAGAATATTACTAGCTTTTAGATTACGATGAATGACCCGAAACCTGGAATCTTCATGAAGATAAAGAAGTCCTCGTGCTATGCCCCTATGATTTTGTATCAAGTCTCCCAGTTCAATAATAAACGCTTTATTGGATCTGCAAATTCACAAAGACATAGGTTGTAGACAGATTGTAAAATATTCCAGTCCTGAAAAAGCTACAAGCTGAATGTTAGAAGTCAAAGCAAAAGAGCAATGAAACCATACCAAATATCTAGACTTGAATTGGGCACAAGCTCATAGATGAGAAGCCTTTCATTTCCTTCCAAACAGAAACCTAGAAGTCTAACCAAGTTCCTATGTTGAAGCTTGGCCACTAAGAGGACCTCATTTTTAAATTCTAATTCTCCTTGTCCTGATTCTTTAGCCAACCTCTTCACAGCTATGTCCTGTCCATCAGGAAGCCTACCCTGAAATTGTATAGCTTCAATGAATTAAAAACTTACAATTTAACCCATTTTGACTGACAATTTGATATGCATTTTGGTTAATGAACACTACCTTTTAAACAACACCAAATCCCCCTTGTCCCAACTTTGTATCATTTGAGAAGCCATTTGTTGCAGCTCTGATAGTATTGAAGTCGAATTGCAAGGATTCCACATTATCAATTGCATCAACATTTAAACAATAACAGCAACAAGTTAGAACTCGCAAAAAAAAAAAAAAAGTTATTGCTGGTCGTTTAGCAGAGGAAATTGCAGATACCTTCTGTCTCTTGCTTACTTCTGATCTCCTGCTTTGTCTTTCTCCTTTGTCTAACAAGGACACAAGTGAACGCAACAAGTGCTAAAATGATAACTACTACAGAAGAAACAATGATTATAACAGTTCTAGATGTAATGCCTCCTTTGCCTGCATCCGCAAACCAGAAAATATGTGTACATATATAGTCAATATTTAATGATGTCTCCTGATCTGATCTTTTACCTGAGCGAACATAAGGACTGGATTGGTCGTTGAAAGGAAAAGCTCTTGACCACACGTGAATAGAAAATAAGGATTCCTAATATCACTCATTGATCAATCAAATAAAGATTCAACAACTAAAAGAAATATTTATTATTCGGGATCCTTCCTATCTTTGAATAAAACAAAACAAAGATAAAATCAGACCAATTCCTTTAAATGGATATTTCTTAATGTCCCGGCCATTAAGGAAATGTGAAAAACATATAAATATCTACTTTCGGAAAAAATCAAAGAATTTAATTCTTAGGGCATCTCTAACCCACGCCAAAATGGCGCAAAAAACACCAAATTGGTGTGGACTGGTACTCCAACCCACGCCAGCACAAATAAAAAATATATATATTTTTTTAATTTTGGTTTTTTTGTTTTTTTTTTAATTTTATTAAGTTAATTTGAGTATTAAATTTTACACCCAAAATCACACAAAATTTGAGTATTTGTATTTAATTTAATTTGATTATTATTTATAATAATAATATAATTTAAAAAATGATGAAAAATTAAAAATAGAACTTTATTAAATGCAAATATTAAACTACAATAACTCAAAATAAAAATTAACACTAATTTAAAAACACTAAAATTAAAAGAAAATACAACATAAACTAAAATAACAATTTAGTATTCCGATAGATTAGTTTCGGATCCTCTAAGATCATCAAAATATCATTTCAAATCTCTTTGAAATGCATTAATTGATCATTTGTGGGAAGAACATACTAATTTGGAAAATTAAATTACTATCAATATGGAATTTTACCTTTGTGTTGTTGTTGTTTTTTTTTTTTTTTTTCTTATCATTTTATATTAGATGTAATGTTTTTCTATAATGTTTTTCTATATTAAATGTAATGTTTATTTGATTAAATAAATGCTTAATTCTATTAAATTAGTATAATTTTCAAAATAATTATTATTTAATAAAAATATCATTCCCAATATTTAATTAATATGTACAAAAATAATGAATGAAATAGATTAATTGTTGATTATTACAATAAAAGAAAAAAAAGAATATTCTAAAGAATATTCGAAGAAATATTCTTTTTGGTGTAATATTTGGTGTTGTGGATTGGAGATGGAATAGTGTTTTGCACCAAAATTTGCACCATTTTGCACCAAATTGGTGCAATGGGTTGGAGATGGTCTTAGGAATCCTACAAGATCCATTTATTTTTTCGTTCACAGATAGTTAGAACTTCATCCGAGTTCAAATCCTACTTACAGATTCGCTAAGGATTAGAAATTGTTTGAAGAAAGAAGATGATGTTGCTTTTGTAAAGTTCATAACATGAAAGGATCTTGAAACATACCTTTTGGAATAACTAGCCACAGAGAAGGCAGCGACGGAGGCGGCTGAGAAGGAGGAGCTGGTGATATAAAATTGTGGCAGGAGAAAGGGTATAATTAACCTTCTGCCTCTTGCTCACTTCCGATCTCCTGCTTTGTCTTCCTCCTTTGTAAAAGGACACAAGTGAATCCGACAATCCTAAAAGTGGTAAATGCAAATGCTTACCACTTTTACTTGTTGAGGTAGCTGGCGGTGGAGGTGAATGAGAGGCCATAGAGTAAAAAGGGTAAATTTCAAACCTGATATTGCAACTAGGCTTAGAAACTCTACCTCCTTCTTTCCCATTACAATATTTACGAATCTCACTCACACAAGCAGCCAAGCAAATGCGGCACTCAGATGAAACAATGTCAGGAGTGCATTGCACCATCCCATATAGCCTAGTAAAAGTTGTGAAATTCACATCTTCAGCAGCAAAAAAGTTGCTAGATGACACAGCATCATGAACCAAACTTTTCATCAAATCAGCCAAAGTCTGATTAAACTGACTGGGATGTATAGCGTTATTTTGGTTCCCCAAATAAACAGGAGGATCCTCTTCCATATCAGAGAAAACAGACCTGTTTGAGTACCTTAACATGCACTCTTCATACCATATAATTGCTTCTTTTTGTTTAGGACAAAGGTTTTCGATTTTTTTACTAGCGACCTTGACACAAATTTGGCATAGATCAGGAGAGATGTCTCCTCTACAAAGAAAGAGGCCATAGGCTCTATCAGGGCCTTGCAGGCCCCCAGTGCAGGTGTTATAAAATCCATTGCTAAGGGGGGCATTCGGGATTAGAGAAGAGAGTTTCATTGAGGTTTGTTGAGAAGTGAAAATAAATAATGCACTAACAAATATTTCCTACTTAGAACGAATTTGTAAGGAGTAAAACCTTGAGCAAATATGCCTAAAACAACAATCAAATTCAAAATAGACACAAACAATTTTATGTAGAAAAACCTCTTCGATGTAAAGAGATGAAAAAACCACGGGATCTAATGGTCCACTTAAATCCACTATAATAAAAAGTGTTTACAACAGCCACAAATCACCAATAATATTTCACACAAAATTTAGAGTTATATCACAACTTTTAACAAAGTGAAATACATAAAAGAGTTACAAAAAGATGGAGAAAAATCACCAGCAAAACACCGGAAATGTAGGCTGTATAACTCCAAACTCAGCCGAAAATCGAAAACCAACCATCCAGATTGAAGAGCCAAACGTCCTCTGCATTCTGACCTAAAACCAGGTTGATTAGACTAGAGATGATCTTTTTATTGTGGTCAGTTGAAGAAAAACGAACGAACTGAAAATTCTACACTCAATTATTTGATTTGGCTATTTTTCAAGAGATAAAACCCCACAAAAATATGACTATCACAAACTAACCGTTAGATGTAAAGATCTTGCCATCAACAACACACTCTGAATTTGAGTAAAAACGGAGCAAAATTCACCGTTGGATAGTCATCGGAAAAACTTGTTGCAGCTACCTCTTCCTCACTTCTGCACATTTTGCATCCATGGATAGTGTCCCTATTTTTTCACGCTATTCACCCACTCAAAAAACGAATAAAGCTGCTGCAATTTTTTTTCTTTCTTTATTTTTGGGCTTTAGTTTGGGCCATCTCCACATGAGGGAAACCCAAGCCCAACAGAAGACACTATTTGGAATGAAAAAGTGGTGGTTACACATCTGTGGTAGCGGTAATGTGGTTTCCTGGGCTGTGATATTGGGAGAATAACGAGCACAACAATGGCTGAAGGATGATTTTATCCAAGGAGAAGAAGCCATGATGCTTTCTAGTTCTAATACATCACAAGGTTAACTTGACTCCCATGGTGAGCATTCCAGTTAGGCAAATTAGTTGTCAAGACAACTTATACAATGAAAAAGCAAAGAACGCCTTATGTATGTTCCCTACTTTTTTATGAAACATTACAGAAGAAGACAGAAACTCCTTCCTCCCTCTAAATTCTCTTTCATCTCACATAACTATTTCTTCCCCGAATAATTTCAACATGAAACGAAAATCTTCATCGCACATGTTACAAAGCAGAATGATTATTAGCAAAATCTTGCCGAGCTCTTCGAAGAAAATGAGTACCGACTCTAGTTCTTTCTTGATAATTTTGGTTTGGTATCTCCCTCTCTCTCCTATTCAAAGTGAGAATAAGAAATTATAGCCATGATTCGGATGCTTGAAATATATTATCATTCCATACAACTGCTTTTTTGGCTTCAAAACTTCACAATTAGCACACTTTTGAAGAATCTCTTCTACAGAGCACAAGAGTATTAAAAAAAAAAAAAAAAAAAAAAAAAAAACCACTTGTAGAGTGGCATTAGAAGCAAGAGATGAGACGATCGATTCCTGTTCTCTCATAGGAGCTATTTGTTGTGAAATTCCTTGTGTCATAACATAAGATTCCTTTATAACACCATTGTTTATCAGCACAAAAAAACCACAAAGCAGATTGAAAACCCTTTTCGGGTTATGCATTTACATGAGCTTGGGGAAGATGAAGAAAGAGACCACAACTGTGAAAGGAAAAAAAAAAAAAAAAAAAAAAAAAAGGAAGGGAAGAGATGAAGATTTGCAAATGTGGATGAAGATTATCAGCGTCCCTACCATTTTCTTCTGTTTTCTCAATTTTCCTTACACAGCATCATTCTAAAATTGAATCTCAATTTGCCAAGTGAACGATTCCTCATTGCAGATATAGAAGCATTGCTCAAATAATCTTCCAAAATTAATAAAGTATATACAGTATACGCCCAAAGTCCATTACTGGAGAAAGCAAGTGGATTCGTCATCATCGTGTCACTAAAGCAAACATTTAACAAGACATGCCAACAAACTTACATTGGCCATTTCATTGGTCTTATCTTGATCACACTTGGTTACCACCTTGCTTCCTATCTCATTGTGTTAGCCAGCTTGCTTCCTATCTCATTGTGATTGACGTTCATAATATTTCAAACAAATTTTGCAAAAGCAAGTTGATTTTGTGTTAAACAAATACTTCAACATTTAAAATTCCAAGACTCTTTGTATCTCATTCTTATATATTCATATCTAGTGTTGTTTAATGCAGTGATGCTTCAATTTTCAATGTAAGATCAAGTCTACATTCTCATTATCTCAAAACATGTAGTTTTGTGATAAAAATATCAAACTTGCAATGCTGAATTAATATTTTTAACGACAGACTTATAATATAAAATGTTACACTTGCAATTAAGTAAAAGCTTGTATTCAAATATAAGCAAGTTTCATAACCAACAAACAATCACTTGTTGAGCAATTAGAGAACATTTTGCCAGATAAATGTTAAAATTAACCTCACCTTCAAACAAAGAACAAGTACTAGAGCCATTACATCTAAGATTTACATTGAAGTAGAAAAAGAATTTGCAACCAAAAAAAAATTTGCATGATAAGGAGAGAGTCTCATCCAAACAACAAGTTGAATTCACTTCCATGCATCCTGGGAATACTAACTTGTAAGAAAGAGTAATGCAGAAAAACTTCTGTTAATACAAGATTATAGAGAACATTGATAAAGGACTGACCACACTGTGGACACAACTCAAAGATACCTCCAACAAATTTGTTAAAGTCAAGCTTGAAAATTGTACCACGAGCTGCTCCATCTAAATGAGCACTCCACTGAGAACCATACAATCCATTTCCTGACCAATGATCATATACTTGCTCTCTGTATGACTTGAAAGCTCGTCAGCAAACATATTATTTCTCTCATCTTCAAAACTTTCTCAAAGTCACAGTGTGGTCATACTAGCATGCGGTCCAACCCGATTTTCACTCCTAACTCCTGGACAGTGCAAAACATGGTCTGATTCTCTGTTCCAAACTGTAACTAAAATACTGAGGAAACTTATCCTCAGGTTTTGAATACCCATGGTCAAAAAGAACTCCGTTTGGGTATCAAGCTCTCTGTCAAGCTGAGACATATAAATTAGGCAAACTCGACACCATGGTCCCGATATCTCCAAACTGAACCCCTTTTCATAGAAAATTTGGTGTCGAGATTGCCTAATTATTTGCATTTGAGAAGTCATTTGTTGCACTCTGACAATACTGAGTCGAATTGCAAGGATTCCATATTTCAATTTCATCAACATCTAAACAATAACAGCAAGAAGTTAGAAACTCTTTAAAAAAAAAAAAAATTATTGCTGGTCTTATAGCAGAGAATTGCAATACCTTCTATCTCCTTATTACTTCTGGTCTCCTGCTTTGCCTTTCTCCTTTGTATAACAAGGACACAAGTGAACGCAACAAGTGCTATAATGATAACTACTACGAAGAAACAATGATTATAGTTCTTGATGTAATGCCTCTTGCCTGCATCCTCAAAACAGAAAAAAATGTGTACATATGGTCAATATTTAATGATTCTCCTGATCTGACCTTTTACCCAAGCGAGCATAAGACTCGTAAAAATTATTATTCTTCCTTCTATCTTTGATAAACAACAAGATAGAATCAGACCAATTCCCTTAAATGCCTATATGGATATTGCTTAATGTCCCAGCTATTCACAGATGTGAAAAACAATATGAAAATCTACTTCCGGAAAAAAAATCAAGAATAATTTAATTCTAAGAATCGTCAAGATCCTTCCTCCTTTTTTCTCTGACAGCTGCCAAAACTTCATTTTAGTTTGAGTCCTACTGAGAGGTTCGCTAAAGATTAGAAATTGTTTGAAGAAAGAAGAGATGTTGCTTTTTCAAAGTTTATATCAGGAAAGGATCTTGAAACATACCTTTTGGAATAACTAGCCGCGGAGAAGAAGCGACGACGGCGGCTGAGATGTAGACAAGAGTGGAGTTTATAGAACGACTCGAATTCCCAGATACATACAACAACTAGGTCTCATAATACTGCATCCGGCTTCGCATGGTAGTGGCTCTCATAGAAACCCACTGATTGCCAAGACAATCCTCACAATCACTCTGTGAAATATCTGGAGTACACTGCATGAGTGCATAAATCCTCACAAAGCTTGTCACACTTTCCTCCCCAATGTGCAAACTTGCTTGTAGAATTATTAGCCCCAGCAGCAGCTTCTCTCAACAACCGGTTCATCAAATTCTCCCACTCTGATCAAACTGTGTCATGTTTCGCGTTACATTATTCTTATTTTCGCCTCCAGCCATAGATCCGCATCCATTTTGCCCAAAAAAGAGCGGTTTGAATAGCGCACAATGCATTGAGGACTCCCTCCCCATGCCACTGCTTCTTTCTGGTTCAACACTGTCTTCACAATATCTTTACTGCAGAACTTACACAACTACACACTGTTCTGCAGAAGAATCTCCTCTACAATTCACAAGAGCATAAACTTTGTTAGGCTCCAGGCCAATACTTGAAGTATAAAAAACCCCGCATGGAGAGTGACATTAAAGCAAAGATGAGAGAATCAGGTTCCTGTTCTTCTCATAAGTGCTATTACTTGCGAAATTCCCCGAGTCGGAACATATAGTTGCTCTGGTAACACCAATGTTATATAAGCATAAAAGAACCAAACAATCCAACGTTTAAAACCCTTGCAGGGTTATGCATTCTCATGAGCTGGGAAAGATGAAAAAGAAACACCACTCTTTCACAATAAAAAAAAAAACAAGCTAAGAGATAGAATCAGAGTGGACTAGTAAAATTGACTGGCGGACAGACTTTGAAATCTGGCTTGAAATCAAAGGATGTTCACAGACGGGAGCTTTTGAAAATCAAAGCCATGGGCTGTTGTGAACAATGATGAGTGATTGAAACGTCAGAGGAAGGATAGTGTAAGGTAAAAAGCATCAATTTATACATAAAATCAAATTTTCTTATTCCTTTTTAACATTGATTCACATATAAAAATTTTCCAGATGGTCAATAAACAAAACTTTCTTCATTCCAATTTTGTTTACCCTGTGGGTTAACACTAAAAAGGACAAATTCTTGCTGTCTTCGATGTGAGAAAATAGTGGACTATTGTGTGTTTAGGAAGATCCAATCTGATTTCATAATGTTTGTTCTCAACATTGTATACTATATACAACTGTTTTTCCTGCAGACATCCTGATTTTTCAAAATCTGAACTTTACGTCTCGCTACCGTTAAAGGACAAAATCCATGAACTATCAACTTTTGCATCAAGACATGAGAGTTGAAAACATGTTAACGCCCTCTAGCTCGGTAATTGAAACCTCATTCAACGAAGGTTGAACATAATTCCCATTATGATCCAACATAGGTGATTCCGAATCATCTTCCTTCGAGTTAGATTGCATAAAAAATGCAGGTTTTGAGGGAACTGGGAGAGACAGAGAGCACTGGTGAGCATTAGAACAACTGAAGCCTTGTAGGTCTATTGGCTACATTTTCTTGAACACAAAGCACCCATGCGAATACATCTCATCATTTCACTGCTAGAACCAACTCTTAGATTAGATCTATCAATTCAAAGCCGTCCCTTCATTCCAATTTCTCCATGCCTGCAAAAATTCAACACAGATTCCATGGTTATTGATATTGAATTTAACCAGGAAGAATGAAAAAAATATATATATATATATTGATAATGACTCGTATTTACTTACAAAAGGTTAATAGATCTTCTACTTGTTCCCATTATGAAAAGAACTATTTTTTTGACCACAGATGATTTCCAGGACTAACACACCAAAGCTAAAAACATCG